GAATTATATATAGGAAAGAAAAGAGAAATTTCACTTGAGTGGCCTACCACCGATAGGCAGGAAAGAGACTGGAAAGGCAGAAAGGTTCAGGAGAATACACGAAAAAAGATATGAAAGCGATATAGCCTGAACCAATTCGACACTTCGCATGAGCCTCACACAGCAATCAGAAAGGGCATATAAAGGGCGGGATTGCAAGAATGGGCACAAATTCGGCACTTTGTGCCTCATTCTCGGCAATCAAAAGGGTTATGGAAGGCAGGATTGCACATCTAGGTCACCAATTCGGCACTTCGTGCCTCATCCCTGGCAATCAAAAAGTGAGGAAATGGATTGTGAAATGTCTTCGGCAAATAGATGAATTGCAAATTCGGCACTTTGTGCCTCATCCGGCAATCAAATAGGCATCTCCAAATCTCCAACCAACTGATACACCAGATCGAATCCTGAATATCCCTTGAAAGTTGCAAGAAGGTTGCGAGAAAGTGACGGGGAAGTGCCTGGAACTGGCGAGAAACTGGATCACATGATTAACACAGTAGGCGCAGTAGAATTTCGTTAATTTCGGCTAGCACTATTCCATATTTTTTTTGCATAAATTTCAGGATGCAATATCTCGGCATCCAGGCATCTGATTCATGCGATCTTAGCATCATTGGAAAGCTCTCAACGTCCTCATCAGAACGAGCTTAAAACCGCATGAATCCAATCACAGGAAGCCAAGATATTCCGCCCTAAAGATTAGGTCAAAAATATAGCATAATGCCGGCCAAAATCTGATTAGCAAATTTACTGTGCCACCCGATCACAACATGATTTTTAGCAATCAAGGCCGGCCAAGCATTTTGGCCACAAAAAGGCTACAGAGCAATGAAAACAAGCAAATAGTTACAAGGCAGTAAAAAGATAGCAGAACAATAAAATCAAGCAAATATCTATAAAGCAACCAAACAGTCACAGACCAGTGAAAACAGATGGATAGCAATAAAGCATTAGAAAGGGCATAGACATGTAAAAATAAGTAAGTAGGGATCAATATCTATAAGTAGGCATCACTATAGTGTAAGTAGATAGATTAAGTAGACATCACTATATATATAGTGATGTCTACTTAATCTATCTACTACATAATTGTATCTTCTTATTTTTTCTCCATTCTGCAACAAATGCTACAATAGAATCATTTGATTTTAAATTAAAGTGATCTGCTTTAGGATTAGAACTTTTTTGATAACATATGAGACCAAGTTCTATTTTTCCCCATTCTTTTGGAAGATTACGAGATAAAATCTCTTCTTCAATTTAACCAAATGTAACCAAATTATTTAAATCATAAGGTATATGTCAATTGCACCATCAAGTTTTTTTCGTAGTTGCTTAAGTTTATCAAAACAAACTAATGGAATATATCCTAAATCAAATTTGTGAGTTCGTATTCATAAAAATATTAACTAATTATATTACTTACGTAAATCAGGTTTTGATATTTTTGACATAAATTGTATATCATTTGGTAAACTTGATGGAGTAGATAGCACAGTACTTTCTAAAGCAGTTGAATCAACTGTTAAATCAAAACAATTTTCTTTCACAATAATACAATCTTTATTCACAACAATTTGGTCTTTTACAGTAATACAATCTTCTTTCACAGAAATTAATTTATTTGGAGTAAACTGCTTATTTATTATATCTTGGATATATTTAAATAAGATAAGAATATATTTATTGTTAAAATATAACAAATTATATAAATATACCATTCTTTTTGACACGGTATTTCATAGTAATACACTTTTGACAAATATTTACATTATTTGGAATTAACGAAAAATCAATTTTTGAAGAAATGTTAGCAAAAATCCAATTAACAAATTCTAAGTCTAATGAATGTTTTTGATTTATAGTGCCTTTTTGTGTAAGAGGTTTATGGTAAAAATCTACTATATAGTCACGTTTAACTTTTTTCCTTTTCCATACAACTACTTTTGCTTGACAAATACAATCTTGACCATATATGCTTTGACAATCTAAGCAAATAAGGCAAATTAGACAAGCGTTCAAATGAAAGTTCAAAAAAGTCATTATTCAATAAGTGAAGAATAGTATAAGGAAAAAAATTTAAAATACGTTTATTGGCAATTTAGTATATTATATATATAATTTTCACATGTTATATACAACATGTCGTGTGTTTTATTTATTTTTCAATTTGCCGCCAACCCGCCAACCCGCCAAGCTTCTAGCAGCAAAAATTGCTGAGTATTTTACATATTTTGAATTTTGCTGTAATGTGCATAATGGAAAGATATGCAACTATTATTTCTATTTCATATTATAGGATGGGTTGTATACTTGTATTAGAAATATTGGGAATTAATTAGAGGAGATTTTAATTGTAAATTTAATGATATTAAAAGATAAAGATGAGAAAGATATGATTTATGAGCTTTGGACATTTTGTTTTGACATGTTAAAAAAAGAATTTTAGATCAAAAGGTACAATGAAGTTAATGATATAGAATAGAGTTTAGGTATTACAAAATCAGATAAAAGAGTTAGAAAACTTCAGTAAAAATAAAAAGATAGAATAAGATGATAAAAATGTAGAAAAAAAGAAATATAAAAATAGAGAAAATGATATTAAATTTGTAACAAAAAATAGAATAATCAGTAGATTTATAGAAAGAAAAGATACGCAAAGTTGGAATTTAATACCAAAATTAGTTTAGTAACATAGATTAGATAGACTTTAGTAAACATTGTTCAAATACTTTAGTTATAGAGGGTAAATTAATTTTTAATTGCTTTCTAAGTGTTTTAATATTTATGTAATCTTTTTATGTATTGATTAATAAATTAATAAATGCGTTATTAATTTTTTTTTTTAAAAAAAAAAGATGGGTTGTATTAGTGTATTACGCTTAGATTCTGATATTCGCATTACGCATTTATAGTTTTTATGACGGCCTTCTAATCACTTGACTTTATAAAATTCAGGATCTGCAGGATGCAGGCAGGATCACAGGACTGCAGGAAAAACATGATTAAGCAGGCTGTGAATCAATTGCCTCTAGTGCTTCTAACCTCACTATTTCTTCATATATGAGTTCTACTTAAATCTGCTTATCGTAATCAGAGTCAGAGTCAGAGTTCGAAAAGCTTTCTAACATTTTATTCGTTCTTTCTTTTTCATGCATCTTTTCAGTCTCATCTTTACATTCAGCAAAGTAACTCTTTCTGATACTCTCTGTAAAAGCGTTTTCGTCATATTTATCATCACTTGGCTTGTTATATTCAACAGCTGGGACTAAAATATTCGTTTGCACTTCTGATACATTAATCTGGTTGGTATCCAAATTGGAAGAATTATCTTCATTATGATCTTCTGAGTCATCAGAGAATTCTATATTGGTTTTTTCAGTAAAGTAATTTATAATAGTTTGAATTTGATTATTAGATAATTCTACAATAGAATTCGCAGTATATGTTGTGATATACTTGATTTTATCAATTCCTATTTTCTCAAGTAATTTGTATATATTCTTTACTCTCTGAGTTTGTTTTAGTAATGTGTTATGTTTAGTATCAATAATAAAATCATAAATTTACCCTTTCACTTTTTCTCATCAATTTGATTGGTTTTCATAACATTTTTTACTTAATTATTGAATTCTATAATAGAATGATACCAACATAAAATCTTATCTTGATTAGCCCTAATTCTTTGCTTTTCTGCATTGCAAACTTTCTGACATAAACAGGTTAAATTTAGTAATGGTTTACTTTTCACTACAAATAGCATGACTACAGAATTTTTCTCATCGGTATTTTCAGTGATAGGAAGTAAGTTTCCTGTCATGAAAATTATGGTCATATGATTTGTCTCAGTTGTTGAACTAGTTGTAAAATCAAATTCATCCTGTACAATATTCTCTGCTTTTCTCTCTTCTTGTGTGATTTCACGTCTTTATTCTAGGTAGAATCACGTTGGTGTTTTCTTTCTCAGACGACTTGGTATTTATGTCATTAGATGCAAAGTCATCTTCAGGTGTTACATCAACAGCCTGTTCATGAAGAAATGCTGATTTCTCCAATTTTACTTCTTTAATAGGTTACCCATTAGTGTCCAGACTGATGTTGTTGGATTGATCCTTGTTGTGCACAGTGTTCTCAGATTTTTTTAGGCACCTTCTTTGCATGTATCCCACTCGTTATACTTTCTCTGCCTTATCTCCTCACTAGCCCCAAAAGGTGCTCCATAGGAGCAATGCTTTTCTTATACTCCTCGATCATGAAAGCAACTGTATCTCCCACATGCGGTTGTTCAGGATGAAATCTGGCATCCACTGCTTTAGAATTCTGTTCACTTTTGCGAGTCTGTCTTCAAGTTTTATATTTTTTTGCTTTTGCTTCTCGATTTTCCTTTCTGAGTTTCACTACTTCACGTTTAAGATCAAAATTCTCAGAAAATAGGTCACTAATCATCCTCTTAAGCTTTAGCCTAAAGTTTCAGCTATTTGGAAAAGTTGGCTTTAGATTTTGCCAAATTTCTATATTGAATGAAATATTTAACATTAGTAATTGTATATTTATATTTAGAAATGATCATTAAGTAATTTTATCATAGCTCACATTATTGGCCATAATTTCAAGATTCTCAATTTTTGTTTTGACTTTTCTGACTATTTTTTTTGAGATTCTCAACCTTTGTTTTGACTTCCTTGAAATCTGAATTGACCTTCATTTCAACTGTTTAAATTGCTTCTTGAACTTTGCTTTGGATAACTTTTGTTATTTTAAGCGTTCCACCAATTATGCTAAGGGTACCAATAATTGAACCTATACTTGGTCCAATACTCTGAAGCATTATTTTTTATAGTCTCTGCAATTCCATTACCTTTATTTTGGTTTAATTATACAATAAAAAATTAGCACATAATAAATTTCATTTTTAATTATACTACTTACTTTCAAACAAATTTTTGAGCGTAATAACCCAACATTTTGGACAATATTTTTTTTACTAGTTTTTACTAAAAAATATAAAAAAATATAAGGTATATATTTATATTGTTTTTAAACAAATTTTTGAGCGTAATAACCCAACATTTTGGACAATATTTTTTTTACTAGTTTTTACTAAAAAATATATAAAAATATAAGGTATATATATTTATATTGTTTTTAAATACATTATTAATTTATCAACACGAGATGATGATTAATTTGATTCATATATGATCAGTGTGGCATGATCATAAGCTTTGTCATACTCAGCTGTAGTATTATATAAGTATAATTGACAACCATTTTATTTTATTTGTTATAGACCGCAGAATATGTAATGGTATATGATAAATATATTTTTGTTCATAAATTTGATTCTAAAGGCATTTGTCAATTTTATTTATTATTAACTTGATATTAAGATAAAAATATAAGGAAATATTTCATTTATATATTATAAATGTGGCATATATTTCGCTAATTTCAACAAAATTATACTTCACGAAGATTAACTTGAAATGTAAGATGATCTTGTTTCCAAAGTTGTGGATTCTTCATTCCACCTTTTTCACGTTTACTACTATCTCTTATTTGTCTTTCATTATTATTTTGCACTTTTTCTGTATGATTTGTGGACTTTCTACCATATATTGACACGTTCATCCTCAACTCCTTCACATTTATCTTCTATAAATTGCCTATTACATTCCTTTTCAATTAATTGCGTGGTTCTTTCTCTTCTACTTGGATGCATAGCTTTGGTATGCTTCTTTACAAAAGTTTTTATTGGAAAATAAGTTCACAATACATCTCTGGTGAAATACTTGGACAATGCTCATCGAAACTAGGAAGCTTATTACTAAATATTCCAGTGGATGCAATAGGTTGAGAAAATGCTTATCCTAACCTTGTACATTTGGAGAGAGAAAACTATTTATAATTTCTATCTTCACATTTGCGAAAATCAACAGAATATTTGCAAATTTGTGAATGACAATCAATCCAATCCCATGTTCCTGCTTTAATATCTGAAAATACAGCTTGATTACATTCTTCAACATAGGTAGCAACAACTGGCCGCCCATTAATAGGATCACGATTTCAAAGCTCACAAAGATGTTCACCAACATGTTTGAAATTCTTACGCCCAAGCTATAGTAGCTTCTCCATTTACATTACCAATATGATCCATAGTTAAAAGCATTTAATATAATGCCTGCTAACTTGATGGAGAGCGATGCCATACTCGAGCATGTGTTCGAACAGTAAGATAATCTAAATAAATTTTTTAAAAACAACAAATACTTTGAGATATTAGCTAAGAATCAAGGTATTACTGAGCCTTTATGATGTGTAAATTCATGATAAGTCTTGAAGATGCTGAACTGTTCGCACCTTAATTACTTCCTTATGATATTTGTAGTCAACAGTCACTGGTCGAAGTGGGGTGATGTGCAATACATTTACACTAGAGAAATTTTATATACACGTCATATTTCAAATTGATTTACCGGTAATTTCAATTAATTCCAATTAAAATGTATATCACAGAAATTTGTTGTAAACTTGTCCAATTTCCATGAAGTGTATATGTCATTTGAAATTTACAAGTTTCTATTATATATATGTATTTTAAATTGTGATAAAACCTTCTTCATATATCATTTAAACTTATAACACATTAAACCGAAATTTTTATGATATAAAGAAACATTAATGAAATTTTGCTCATATTTGCAAATATATAGCTAAAATGTTAATAAAAAATACAATAAATGTACTAGAAATTTTATATAAATTCTCTATAAATTATAAAGAAATATAATGGAATATTAATAATAAATATAATAAATGTGCTAGAAATTTTATATAAATTCTCTATAAATTATAAAGAAATATAATGGATATTAACAACAAATATACTACAAATACTATATAAACTTGATGCAAATATAACTGATTTTTGTATACGTAATTGTTAAATATCATTAAACTGAAAATCTTCTATTTAATGGTATCACAGCCACTAAATTAGTTCGGGTATTTTGGAGACAATAGTCTGATTTTATAAATCGACATACAATTCGTTGAACTGGTATAATATTTTCAGATGAAACTCTTTTAATTATAGGCGGTTTCCATAGTTCAACATGTCTCATGCCATTTTGTGTAACTCCATCAAGAATTCTAGATGAACCTCGTCGTGAAACATTAAAATGATCAATTTTTATGTGTTTTCCATACCAATCAACCATTGCTAGTACATGTTCTGTAATCCCAACATATGGTAATACAATTGAATGTTTGAAAAAATAACGAATATTTGCTGGCCAGTATTGAAAATTATTTTCATCATCTAGAAATGCAACCATCACATTAGAAGCAAGATCAGAGCGACATAATTGTGAACCAAAATGTTCATCAGCAATTTGAAGAGCTGATGCACGTATTATTGAAGGAGAAACAAATATTGCATGTCTATCTTGTTGTTGACTTCCAGAATAGAATTGATATTCTAAATCAGCGTAAACTCGTTTATAATAACCAACTAAACAATCAACTAAAGGTTTTTCCATTGTTAGTTCACATGTAGGACTTAAAAGTTTGCCAGGAATTGATTCATAATCTCGTATATTCATTTGACTTATTTGAAATGGCAGTCTTTTGAAATATAAAGCTTCTTGAATAGTGAAATTGTACTTTGCCATTGTTCCTTTATTCTCATGTTGAAATGATTGTAATTTCATAAAAGACTTGATAACTTTATCTGAAAAAATGGATTTGCCAATTGACATTGTATGATGTAATAAAGATTGGCGATTAATAATATTCATTACTTCAGTAGCAAAATTCCTTCCTGAATTCGGCATTGATGCTAAATACCTAAAGTAATAAATTTTTAAATATTAATAAGATAATACAATAACAAAAATATTAAGATAATACAATAATAAAATCCTATTTTTAGCTTACCCATTAAGTCTTTCGAAAGGAAAGCACCAAAAGCTATAAAGAGGACCATAATCTAACATACAATCTTTAATATGCAAATGCATATGCATATTTGGAGTTGCAATTTCTGGCCCCAAATAGATTTAACTTTAGCTAAAAAATCTTTTATTGCAAAATCTCCATATTCAATTTCTTCACGGGTAATTATAGTTTGTCCCCAAAGTAAAAGGCAATCAACAAAGGACTGCCAATATTGTCGATGTTCTTCAGGAAGAATATCTCTTAAAGTTAATGTTGAATAGATTAAGCACCAAGACTTCCATTGATCTGCGGAAAATCCAGCAAATTGGGATGCAATTTTATGAGGTATACGACCTATATCTGAAGGAGGTGGTGTAGCATCAATAATACTTTGTATTTTTTTAAGATCATGTACAGAAATTAATGGTTGCTCGCCAGATGTCCATTTTTTCATTATTCGTTTAGCAGTACCTAAATATAAATTGTGCATAGGGTCTATAACAATAAAGCGCTGAATATCAATATAAGGAAGTTTTATTAGAGGTGTCCATCGGATTCCATGTTCAGTAAATATTTGGTTACGTATTGTAGAACTTGAATTTTTAAATTTATAGGCAATACTTTGATGCTTCTCTTTTGAACGTTGTGGAAGATTGGCGTTAAAATTACTGAAATCTGGCTTCCAATAGCCTGTATTACTATCTTGAATTGTAGAAAATGAATGATCACACCTATAACATCCTCTTTTAGATGAATGACTTGAAAATCCACCAATCTTACAATAATATATAAACAGATTTTTTAAATATTTAATTAATATTGATAACAAAAATCAAAATGTACTACCTTTCTTGCTGCAGGTGTATCACAGACGATCATTATTAAAGCTGCTCGATAAATTCTGCCAATTGGATAATTAGGTGATTTTATAACTTGGCCAGCCCATAATTGAAGAAGTTCATCAACTAAAGGTTCAATATATTGGTGTATTTCATTTACATCTGGCTCATGAGGACCAGGTATTATTCCAATAACAAAAGTATTTTCTTCACGAAATCGGATATGACGTGGCAAATTCAATATTGTTAAATATATTACTCCAACAGAGTATTGAATATGTTTGCAAGGACTAAACCAGTCCAAATTTAAAGCAAATCCAATATGAATTTCTAAAACATTTTTAACAAAAAAAGGTTGACCATTAGTATCAGTAAATGTTTTCCAAACCCTTCCTTCATACACATCAGCAAATATATCATCATCAATTTCACGTTTAAAACATGATTCTAGCAAATTTTCCATTTCTGGTTTTGATAAAAGTAATTCCAATTGCTGAATTATTGAATAATATGGATAAACTTTGATTGGCTGTTAATTACAATAATTTTGTTTGAGTATAAATAAATTATTAAATTAAAATCATCTATTAATTCAAATTATAACCTTAATTAAATGATTTCCTTTAGAAGTCCGAACCATCTTAGTAATTATTTCATTACATTTATTACATTTAATAGGTTGAACATTACCATTAAGAATATCTGGCAAATGAAGATGGTGACAGTGAGGACACACAATATAATTTCTGTATTCATGTTCAACTCCAAGTAATCGATCAGCACGGTATATCGTTGAAGGAAAATCAGAAAATGTGGTGTTATTAAAAGACTCTAGTAAATCTTTAAGAAAATCTAGCAATGTTGCACTTGCTGTTTGAGGTAATACAAACGTATCTTGAAAGAGATAAACCCATAACATTGCCCATCTTGTTGTTTCATTTGTGTTTAGAATTAAAGGATTGTGATGAATGTTAGTAGAAATGTTAGTATTTATAGTATAATGCTCATCTATTTCATACTCTGAAACAATTTCATCATCAGAATATGACTTTTCATTAATAGTCATATTATCTATTCTTGCTTCATTAATATTTGCAGGAATTATAAAATTATTATCTGTATTATCTAAAATACCAGTTTCTTGTAAAATGGGTATTAAAGGAATTGATCGAACTTTCCTATTATGTGAAGTTGGAGTAACATCATCATTATATGATGTAAATGTAGGCTCGGGAGTCAGATTTGAATAGATGTCAAAATGATCATTTTTAATTTGATTTGTAACATTCTTCTTACGCCTAATAGATAGATCATTTTGCTCATTTAGCTCTTTTAACATATGTCTGCGAAATGTTCTTTTTGAACAAACTGAACCTTTGCATTTATTACAATAACATAATTGTTTATTCATTATAAATTTTAAAAATGATAAAAATAATATATTATTTGATATTTAATTATTCGGTAAATTTTACCAAATTTTATTTTTTTTTAAAAAAATAGAAAGAATAAAAATCAGTTGAACGCCAATTATTTCTATATTTATTTAACAAAAAAAGCTTCGCCACTTGTGTTGCATAATAATAAATCAATATATGAACTAATTAGGAAATTTAACTTGACATCACTTTATATGAAAATATAATTAAGTTTCCAATAGACTTTTTTTATACTTTTTATATATAAAGTCAATTGAACTAACTATATTTTCCATACAATACATACAATATAAATAGACTTTTTTTTATACTTTTTATATATAAAATCAATTGAACTAACTATATTTTCCATACGATATAAATAGACTTTTTTTTATACTTTTTATACATAAAATCAATTGAACTATATTTTCTATACAATATAAATATAAAATTAATTCATTTTTTAACGAAAAAGCATCTTTCTTTTTTTAAACTTGAACAAAATGAACGCAAATACTTTTCTAACAAATATATCTAAAAGTTTACATACTTTAGAAGATCAAAATAATTCATTATCAATAACATCTGATAAAAATGAACTTAAATTACAAGAAATTCATAAAAGTATTATCAATTTGACAACTTTAATTCAACAGCAAAGTAATTCTATCAATGGACGTTTTGAATTAATTGAAGAAAATGTTGATCAATTAAAATTAAATCAAAACAATATGTTAAATAATATTAATGAAATATTGTCAAAGGTACAACAACATCCAGTTAAACCAAATGTATTTTCAACTAAATCTCATAAACGAAAATTCAAGTCTGTTGATGATTTACTTGGGGAAAGTTCAGAATCAGAAGCTGGAAATAACAGCAAATTGAACCCATATGATTTAACTCCCACTCTTGTTGCTTTGGTTCGAAATAAAATGAAAGTAAATGAACGACATGATGAAGATTCTGATGAATCAATTGAAAATGAATTTTCTTTTGATTATTCTAAATCTTTTACTCACAGGACCAACCAGAAAGTCCTTAAAGCATATTTATTATTTTATATGAAAGATTATGAATCACGAGGAGATAACTTAAGTAATTACATACATTGGTAATTTATTTATTATTTATTATTATTTAGCTCTTTGTTTTGTAGAAAAAAATGAAATATGGTCGGAAGAGATGGTTAGACAGATATGTAACACTTATTTTGGAACAAGACGTAATGTCTTCAAATCTTCACCAGAAAAATCAAAGGCTATAAAAATTAATAACCGCCGTAACAATAGAACATTAAAGGTATGTTAATATAAAATAAACTATCATATACAATCATATAAAATGTTCATTTTTGCAATATTAATAATCTCTATTTTAATTTTATAGAAATTTAATGCTCGAAATAGTGTTATTGATACATTTGATGTGGAAATATTAGGACATCCAATTAAAGAAATTAAAGCACTATTTGCACGAGAATTAATATCACCTGAAATTAGTGAAGACGAAGCCACAATTAAAGATAAAGCTAATGATGAAATTTCAGAAGAAATTTATTATGTTCCTTCCATCCCTTGGCGTAGTAATGAGGTAATTATAATACTTATTAAAATATTTTAAAAATTATAAATATTATAACTTTTTTAACTTCATTAGGCTATTAAAGTGCGTGATATTATTGATGCTAAAGTTAAGGTTGAACAACAACGTCAAGCAAAGTTACGCAAAGGTTCTGTTAGTGGAATAACAACTCCTAATCAACGTATACCAGTATCTCCAAATAAAGATAAATTTCGTCAACTAGTATCATTCATTCCAGCCTGCCCAACATCATCAAATTTTCCGCGTTGGGCTATTAAGAAATCATACAATCTAAATACTGGTATTTATAATGCAGTAGACTCAGATTCAGAATATGAAACCATAAATTAAGATATAGCGAAGTCTACTCAAATGAATGTTGATTCAGTAACAGGTAAATTTATAATTTAACTGTATAATTTAACTGTTTAATTAAAATTTATTAATAATAATTGCTTTTTTAGAGGACTTTGAAAGTGATTTAACAAGATCATTGAATAATTTCAATAATAAAGTTACAAATTCTGAGCGGTATTCCTTGTTGGACAATAATAATCAGGTCAGTTAAAATAGATTCAAGTTAAGTTAATTTTTTAATTATTAAACTCAGTTTCATTTTTGTAGATAATGACAGTTTCTGAAGAAGCATTATTAGCGAGTTCTACAAGACTTGATATCGAACTAAATAATACGTGTGATCAGTCATTATCCAAGCAAGTTGATAGAAACGCAAATGATCAGCGTGATCAGGAATTAGTGAAACCACCAAAACCTGCTCCAAAGACTACTAAAAAACGAAAATCAAATTTAAAACCAGTTTTCCGAAATACACGTTCTAGAGCGGCCAAATAAAGTTACTAATGCTTATAAGGTTAGTAGATGATTATAATTCCTGTATATATTTTATTATTAAGCACAAAATAATAATTCTATTCGTATAATAGATAATTTTTACGCTTCACGCAAATTTCAACTTGCATTTAATTGAAATTTCAAAATTTAATTGAAATTTATGCATTGTAAATTAATTACCATAATTTAATTAAATTTTATTATGTGCAGTATACGTAGATATTAAATTTAACAATAATTTATTCGGAATTTCCACTTTATAAATTTGTAAATTAAATTTAAAATCATAAAATTTACAATAAATATTACCTTTTCAATCTATAAATCAAATTTAGTGGAGATTTCTTAATTGCAATCGGGATAACAAAATTTATCAGCTATTTCTGAGCCATAAACATCATGCACATCATGCCACTTCGACCAGTGAGTTCCAAATTCAATACTACTATTCATTTTTTCAGGATCATTCATGAAAAATGATTTTCTTTTTCGAGTTCGTTGCTTAGATGTAGCATGATTTTTTAGCTGCTTAAGTCTCTTCTCTACTACTATAGTTTCCTCAAGCTTTTTAATTTTTGAATTAAATTGTGAACGAAGTTCTGATGATGTTGCCATTTGAAATATTTTATTAAATTCATATAGATCGGTCTTTGTTTTTTGAAGTGTAGCAAAAGAATGTTTTTGTGCTGTTGCATTTGGTGGAATTTGAATATTATCAGAAGGTTCAAAAGGAGAAGGCGGAGTTGAAGGTTTATCTACAGGTTTACTTTTTGAAAGGAAATTGAAAGAAGAAGGACGAACAGAAGTTTGTAATGGTCCATAGATAAGATTTTGAATAATATTTTTTTATTTCTTGCCAGCTACTTTGTGCTTGTTGTTGAAGTTCCTTTTTGAAATTTTGACTTTTCACCATTTCAGAGAAAGCAAAAGCGTTTACATACTGTTTATAAAGGTTCTGCTGGCTTGGAATAAGGTAATTCTTGGAATATTTTGGCTCCCGAAAATAAGTTTGCTTCATTATAAAGGAACATGTTATGTGATAGTGAAGGACGCATTTTACGTTATAAATTTTATTCAGGAACAAGGCGTTTTTTTTTAACCACATCGAACATTGTTTCACCAGATCTACTTAATTAAGAACGGCGCCGCAGTATTAAATGGCGCAGATGGAGATGTTGCATATGCATTCACCAGATGATCATCATATCACTTGTGAACGATATTTATCAATACTCTGATCATACTTTCTATAACTTTCATTTTGATTTCAAATACATTAATTGCTCAATATTTGAACCAAATTATGTTTGGGCGCATTATAAACTGAAATTTTTACATTTTGCTCATCTCTGCCCGAACAGGACATGAATTATCCTGTCGTGATCATTGCGCGCAAAACATACTTTATTATTTGGCGGACACGTGACCAAAATTCACATTCTTTATGCCGCATTAGATAAATTATGATTTAGATAATTTTACTTAATACTTTTTTAATCAATAACAAGATAATTTTACAATACATATTGTAATAAATCTATAACAATGAATAAATAAAACGAGAATACTATGAAAAAGAATTCTTTTTAAAACTTTAACATCATGAATTTTTGCTCTGCTTTGTAAAAATTTTTCGTATACTTTATTACAATTAATGCTAAAAGGAAAATGTTTTTAAACATATAATATTTAGTTTTAGGAATATAAATTCATAAATTTTCAAGCAAAATCGTGGAAAGTGTTATATTTGGACTACAGTCAAACTTCGATATACTTCGTAATTACTAATTACAAAGAATAAAAAAAAATAAATTGACAATGATGAAAATTGATGGTTCACCGTTCACTATATTTGCTGCGCCCAGTATTGTTTACCAATCAGCTTATATATATATATATATTATTTTTTTATTACTTTCGACCCAATAATTAATTTTTTCCTAAATAGTATTTTTTTTTCTTTCAAAGAATGACATTGCATAAATCGCATTATAACACTCTTTTTTGTAATTTTTATTACTTTCTTTAAAGGGAAAAATTAACGGACGAATTTTCAGTTTGTGCCCCTATCCCTTATATGGGATTTACAAAAGAAATGCATATAAAAAAAGAAAAATGAATAAAAAGACCACATTAAGAAAATAAAAAACAAAATATTTTCATTTCTTTCTCGATAAACAAAAATTTTTTAACGATCATAAAAAATGGCAAAATTATATCTTATTGCTGTAATCATTGCTTCAACTTTGGTTTCTTTAATTTCAGCTGATGATAATTCTGACCCTATCGCTGATAAAGTAGGTTTAATTATAATGTTGGTGCCATCATTTTATTATATTAAGTGAACTAGTAATAATTATTCATTTATTCACTTTATATTATATACTTTTAAAAGTTAACGCAAATAAAGGCAATGATTGATTTTTCAGTTATTTTTTATGTTCTTGCTTTTATATTATGGATTATAGGTTTAGCATTAACAAATAAAAAAAAGGTAGGTTCAGTAAATAAAAATATTGATATTATCTGTTATAAATAAATTTTATAATAATATCTATGCAATAGATATGGTGTGGCTCCGGCTCTAACGTTAACGATAATAAAGAAAAAGTGAGTATTTAATCATTTATTATTATTATTGGGTGTGTATTTGCAAGAGATGTTAAATGCAAGATCTTATATCTTGGGCGAATTACAATTTACTGTAAACTTTCTAATAATAACTATTATATTTACTAGGATAAATCAAAACTTGAAATCAATAATTGGGCAGTTGTAGATATACTTCTTAAATTAAATGGATTTATTTCTAATATTATGTTTATTCTTAATGTTATGAATATTATGAAACATATGAAAGCAAATAATAATGGGGATTATAAAGATTATGAAAATATTTATAAACTGGTAATAATAAAATTTTATAATAATATTCTTTTTATTAGTATTAAATTGAACTAATTATTTATATAACTATAGTCAATAATTATAGTTATACTTTCTGGTGCATGGAATTTTTATATATCTTTACTAGCTGTAGCTTCTCAACCCTTTTATACTTTTTGTGTAAGGATAACTAAAATTTGCTGTTGTTTTTGTTGGTTTTTATGTTTTTATGGACGTAAAAAAAAATGTAATGATTGTAAAAAGCATAATGCTGAAGAATTTTTAGGATGGCTTAAGGATAATAAATTTGTTGCAACCATCCTTATAGCATGTAGTTTTATTTCACTTGAATTTTTCGAATTCTCTAATTCAAAATGGGGAGGATTGAAAACATTTAATTCCAAAATGAATAGATTTGGAAAAATCATAGTTTTTTATGGTGCAATAGTTAATATATTTATACGAGATGTTCCTAAACTTGTTATCCAGGTAAGTAATATTTCTGTAACAATATTTTTCTTTTTAAATAATAACTTATTTTTATCATTTATTAGATTATTTACCGTGAAACGTTAAAAGGGAACCAGTTCATGCTTGCTCTGAATGGTTTAATTATATTTGTAGCTATAATTAGCAGAATTTTATATGGTATAATTTTAATATTTAGTCGTTCTAAAGAGAAATGTAATCATAACGCATATGTCACGTGAGTCGCGGCTTGTAGTAAACAAATTTTAGATATAAAATACGTTAAATATATTAAATATTAAAAAACAAACATTTCTTAATTCACAATAATTTAGAATATAATAACTAAATTAAATGCATACTCTACTAATTGATGAAAAAAGATGTGTGTACTGTATTTAATTGAATTTTGGATTGTCAATTCGAACTTATGATGAAATGATGAAAATAAGTTTCATGAGGAGGAAGCTCAAATAAACGTTTATTAGAAATATTTACCATGGAGTGATATCAAATAAAATATTACCAAATGTATATGCAACAAATCACATATAGTATCTGCGCAAAAATATTGTATTAGTATGATGCTTACAATGCATATGATTTTATATCTTGCTAAATCAGTAATAATGACGAAAATAAATGTTCAAATAAAAATAATTGATGACTAGACTGCGAGGAAAACTTAAGGATGACCTGATAGGGCTCATGAGCAAGAAGGGACATATCAAAGGAATAGACGTTCTATACATGAAATTATGATATATCAAAACATGAGAAGTATTTTAAAGGCAATCTGAGAATCTTATGTGTATAAAGTGGAACACATGAAAATTTTAATGACAAACGTAAGCAGAGAATATATGAGCATAACAGGATGAGCAGCAGGAATGCACTTTAGATATAGCAAATAGGCTGTAGAGTGAAAAAGTGGTGGCCTACCAAAATAAAAATATCAGAATAACATCATAATACTAGTATAATAAGAAAAGTTGTAATAAAATCTGCTGAAAAACTTGCTAATAAAAGCAAACAAACTACTTTAAATAATTATATATCTTCGTTTACAAAGCAATGTTAGTTTGTGCATTTTAAAGCACTGGAATTCCTTTTAAATGTAGTAGAAAATGTTGATTTCCAATTGTTTTTACGAAAAGCATACCCTTTATTTCAAATTCCATAGTGTACGCTCAAAGAATCTTATGGATACACACGATACACTTGGTCATTATTTTGATATTGAAAAGGATAATAGTCTAACGGTCATTATTCATCCCATCACCCCAAAAACTCCCTCTAGCAAATAATTAGTATTTTTTTATTCACATCATGTAACGCGATGCATTCGCAGTTTTTATGTATTAGTTGTTGCTTCTGCAACGATTTATTTCATTAAATAAAACATCGATATATCGGCCATTAATTTTGCATGTGTGGAACGGGTTTTTCAACAAATCTTGGGAGTCTACGTTACACCTATGATGCAATGTGGCCGATCGATATTTTTTTTCACGTACAGTACAGCAAAAAATACTATATAACCCGTTATGTCTATCACTTTATTCTGTCTCATCAAAGGTAATATGACCGCGAACGCTTTCTCTGTTAAAATAAGTAGAGAAGCGAGCTCAAGGATGCTATAAAGGCGAAAAAAAACAAAATGACTTTGCTGGTGCAAACTCAAGCTTTGGAAAGTGAAAATCGACCCTCGCAACGATCTCTTAGGCAATCTCTCACTCCAGGACCAAATCGAACTTCTCTCAATATTTAAAGTCCACTTGTTTGCGTTCTGTTTCGGTCTAACGATAACGTCGAACTCTGCAATGCAAGAGCTTGATTAGTAAAATCTTTATTCGAACAGTAGTTTGTGAGGTATTACCTCGTTTTTCATAACCTAAAATTCTCATCCCAAACATATTACGTACCATAGACGGACTTGTTAAGCGATGCTTCCAACGATGCGATGCGGTCAAGTAATTCCTGTTCACGGCTCGAGGTGGCGGTTGACAAAGGTAGCTCGACTAAAGACATGAATATGTCTCTTAGGCTCTTAGGTGATTTCTCGGTCCAGTAATCTCCTATATCTCTTGTTACACAAGCAAGCCTCAAAGACCTCAAAGATTATATTCGTGAATTGTATAAGCCACCAGCGCTTGGAAATGATGGAGCAGTAATAAAATTTATGAGTGATGAAGTGAGATATTCACCTAGAGAGGATGCCAGTTATTCGTATCAAAAAATAACCCCAAGTTCACATATTCATCGAGACGCCATCAAAACCATTTAACTCCTGAACCTTCCCTAAAGTGTGTGAGCTCTATGGGCTTAGCGAAGACCCGAATCCTAGTATTGACGTGTACTCTATTTTTTCATGTGGTTGTGTCAACACTAAGAAATGAAAAATATTAAGAAGCATTGCGTAAACTTATAGATGGATTGGAAACGCGCATTGCGACAATCCCCATCGACATATCGTACTAGCCCACAAAAAGTATCTGTTCCTACACTTATCTCGTCTCGCAACTTTCCCGTTTAAAAGTCAAATAAAGATAGTGCCTGAGAAGCTGGTCAAAGGAAAAAAATGGTCGTAGAAATCTTGATCATGGAATTTAATCACGGACAACTGGAAGAATGATTGGCTTGATTGAGGTTTAAAAAAGATGATTTTAAGCAGGGATTTGCGCAAGCCACTGTACAAATGGAATAAACGCAAAGCGAATGAACTAGACGACGACTATGATATGGATATAGTATGGGGTATTGTAACAGATGCGGAAAAATGGTATTTCATGGAATGTACGCTAGATAGTGAAAGAAAACCATTTTCAAGTTATCAAACCCTTATTTGTTGCGTATGAATATGAGGATATGAAAGACAAGGCGGACAAGGTCCTTGGCCATATTATTTGGTTGTTGGGAGAGGCGCAGAAGCCGGTGGAAACTTCTCAGGAATCGAGAATGAAAAGGGTAAAGTCAACAGGTAATCTTGTGGGAAAATCAACTTAGAATTTAGGGATAGATAGAATTTAGGATATAAACGTAGTAATTCATCATGTATCACGGGCAAAGTCTCGACCTTTGTATTTATTTTTCGCATGTATTAATGCTCCTTGGTAGCCTTGCTACTGTGGGAGATAATCTATTTTAATAAAGTATTTTATGTAATTAAGGCAAGGAAATAATGGAAATCTACCTTCTCAGACTTAAGAATGGTGTTGATGACAAATCAGCAAGAACATCGGTGTACAGCGAAATCAAACCTTCTTTCCTGAAAGTAATGTAAACTTGCGTAAAATAACTTTCAGAGCTAAAAAAATCTATATATTGTTTGATGGGATAGGAATAAATAGAATCCAAATAGTTAGTTGTAGTGCAAGTGCCATCTCAAATTTAACCAGATCCAGGATGTACTGTAGGTTATGAAGTTTATGAAGACTCTGTTCCAAATTGGAACGGACACGTGACTTCGAAACCAATAAGACTGATGCATCAGAGGTGCAGGTGAATCCCTTGTAAATACTATATCATCTACATCTTAATCTAAGCCGATCCTATTTTTGCAACAAGACATTAAATCAATATCCTAATTTATATATGGAATTTAGTAGTGAAAATTTGAACTAATGACGAGACATTATGTAAGTTAGACCATAAAGTATAGAAGGTAGAGGATCTTATTTTATTAAATGTGAACAGTGTGAATTACAATACTGTATTTGCTCACACTTCATTATGTAATATTTTTTTAGGGCTAATTATGTATTACCTAATTAAAAAAAATGCGTCAGAAAATTAATAAAGATTTTTGGGCTTCTGATTTAACATTATTGAAAATTTTAAAGATCCCAAATTTATTAAAGCATAAAGTGGTTGGAAATGTATTGCAGAATTACCCTTCTATTCTCTTTTAAAACATTTATTTATATATCAAAAGGAAAAAATTCTAAATTTATATTAGCTCCTTCAAGCTTTTGATGCTTGATATATTTATGTTTATCTAAGAAATCATCTAAATTATGGTATGCCCATTTTCAACAATTTTATCAGTGATAACAACTCCAACATTAGGAATAATATTAATAATATTTTTAATTTTTATCAGTTCTGAGAAATTAGGATTGATATCTTTGGCAAGATAAAATGTGGCATGTGATGGAAAAATATTCCTTGAAGTTGGTTTGGTCTATAATTAGGATATCTTCTTCTGGTAACTGTTCATAATCAAAGTTACACCCTCATGTAGTAATGAGAATCATGATACAACAAGGATTGGGATAAGAATTTATTATGGATTCAGATTTTTCATAAGACTCTCCAAATTCTTTATGCATTTTTTTATAATCTCAAATTCCATAAATTCCCTTCCATTGTAATCCCACATTTTTTGCACTATCATTAGAGCATTAGAATTCTTGGAATCATAAAGTATTTCTTTAGCAATAAATGAATCTTTAAATGGGAACCCTTTGCCATTAACAATTTTTTGATGGAGAATTTTATTAAAGAATTTTTTTTTAATAGGGGGATTATTTTTGATAGAGGATTTTATTAAAGAATTTTTCTTTAATAGGAAGATAACTTTTTTTGCATTCATTTTTTATTACTTACAATATAGACTGAGCTATCTTCTTTTTTGATATTATGTAATGGTGAAACATTATAAAAAAATAGAAATCTTATAAAATTAAAAAAAAAATCAATTGTTCTTGGTCCAATTATAATGTGAAATCTTGACATGATTAGTGGCTTATAATAATAATATGGGTACTTTAAAAAAATAGAATTTATCAGTAAAAATTCATGTAAAAAAAGGATTAATTTGAATATGCTTTTGGGAAAAATGATTCTATCACAAAAATCTGATTAACCACCTTTGATTTTTCCTTAATTTAATAATAAAATAATTTAACACTATCCATATGTAAAGGGATTTTTTAATAAAAAAATGTGCGAAAATAAATTAGTTTCTGTAATACATGTAATGTATTACAATAAAGAAAAAATAATATACAGTATGTAAAAAAAATTATAAATTGTTTGGTAAATTTGCCTTATTGTTATATTAATCATATGAAAAAACATATATAAAATACAGGATATTATCATAACCAATAAAGGTTTTTTTTATACTTTATACATATCTCATTCCTCTACTTTTTATTAAAGTCTAATAAATCTTTATGCATTAAATTGATATATATTTTTTCATTTACTATGCAAAAATAATAGAAAATGCATATAAGTTGATTTAAAAAAAAAGGAAAATATTCAAATTAACAAACTTGTAAAATGCAAATTGCGCTTCATTAATATATATATATTTATAGAAATTTGCAAACTTATTTTTAATTACTAATGTACTGGTTTTTTTATTCTTTATATTCAGAAAATTTACTTTTGCAGTTGTTAAAAATAGTAGAATCCATTTTTTTCTTTCATGAACTCCATAGCTTTACTAGTAATCTTATATAAAAAATTAATTAAACAATAATTAAATGATGCAAATTTCCAATGTAAATGAAATAGTATTACTTTATTATGTTCTTCATTAAAAGCTTTTTGATTAATATTGGCATCTCATATTTTTATTTGCAAAGTTATACATAATCTATCATTAGCTTTATTATTAAAATGCTATTCACAATATTTAAGAAAATGAAGATCATCATAACTCACTTCACTACTAGCATTAATGTAAATTATATTATCATCAGCAACCGGTTGATTAAGTTTAGTATAATTATTAAATATTTTATAATCTATTTATCATCTATGTCCATTTTGTTATCTTTGTAATTATCTTTATCTATTGTTATCGCACAGCCCTATAGGATCATGCTGATTTTATTTGTCCGATATTTTTATTATCGTACAATATTGATATCAATAGTTTATTTGTGTACAATATTGAATATCGATAGTTTATTTGTATACAATATCAAATATTAATGGTTTATTCAAGCATGATCTGCATTAGCTATACGATAACATAGATATTGTACAGTGGTATTTATATTGGTTAACGTCACGAAGTGACGTTAACCAATATAAATACCACTGTACAATATCCATTAATTATTTTATTATATCAGATTAATATTTAAGTTTTTTATAGGACTATTGCATTACAAAAATATTATAATATCTGGATACTGATGTTATTAGTATTTCTAACAGATCAGATCAGACCAGACTTTATTTAAATTCAATCTGATCTGAAATTTATTAAATCTGATTTAATCTGATTTGAATTTGATTAAATCTAATTGAAAACTCCTACAAACCCATCAAAATGTCACGTTGTAACTAAAGATATAGGATGATATAGGATAAATTACACAGAAATTGATATTAATTAAAAATATTTATTTAGTATAAAAATTAATATTGTTATATTTTAGATAGTTTAGTTTAATTTAATTTAGTTTTAACATGTGTTTAGCATATGACGTAATATATAATTTATAGTAAAACAAATATTGTAGAATATTGCTTGTAAAATATTGTAAAACATTGTAGAACAATTTATAGTATCATAAATAGTTTAGTATTACAATAGTTTAATGGAATATTAAAATATATAAAAAGGCTGGATTTTGACCTTTGTCAAAAGCTTCAGTAAAGTTAATTTTAGCTCAATAAATAAAATAATAAATATTAATTATTAAAAGTTATTTTGAATATGCTTATAATATACCTGAAATTTAATTAATGTTTATATTATTAAGTCCAGAGAAATAAGTAAAGAAAAATTATTTCAGTTTAATTATTTAATGTAAAGTTTATTTAATGTAAGGAAAATTATTAAAATTTAAAAGTTAAATTTGAGGTTATAAAAAAAAGAAAGTAATATTAAATCTAAATCAAATATAATGTTAAACTGAGTGTTAGTCTTGTCTGCTGATATGTGATAGGTATTAGTAACAGTGTATATACACATAAATATATGTCAATCTTACTTTAATATACTAATACATGATTATATTACAATTGTTATAATTAACTCCTAATATATCTGTAAAGGTAACCAAATCTAATTTAATTTAAAACTAATCTGAATCTAATCTGATCTAATTTGAATGTGATTTAAATATGAATAAATATATTATAAATTCTAAAGTTATAATTTATAATTTCAGTTAAATCTAAAATTCTGAAATTTCAGCCAAAATTCTAAAATTAAATATGTAATTTGGCCAGAATTATACACTTAACTCCAGTAGGAATTATTAAATTTCTTAAAAAGAAAACTTAGATTATATAAATTAAATGTTAATTTATTCCTATAAAAATTGATTTTGTGAAATGCTATTATCAAAAAAGAAAATGGTTGACATATCTGTTTTAGCTAGAGTTTAAAAATTAAAATTATGAATTAATTCTGGTTGGCATTATGAATTTAGCTAAAATTATTAGTAAAATCAAATCTGAGATTTGAATCAAATCTATCAGATCCAATATGATTAGATTCAGATTTTAAATAAACTTAATCTAAATCTGATTTGATTTAATTTGATTTAATTTGAAGCTAATCTAATTTGTTCAGATCAAATTTTTTTTGATTTGAATTTGAACTGCAGATTAAATTCATCTGATCTAATTTGAATTTAACAAATCAGATTCAGATCAAATCTGATCAGATCAGATTTTTTTCAGAGTACTAGATATCATAATTTATATATTTTGAGGTATTTAAGAAGGAAAATTTTACCAGTTAAAAAATTACAGAAATATCTCACAAAGCTAAAAAGTTCTTTCAAATTGATTGCTTAATATTTTAATTAATGTTTCTCACAAGTTGAGTTGAGTCAAGTTTTGAATCAATTTTTTATATGATAAAATTTATCCTATACTAATTTTTATAATACTTCAACTATATTATTTATACTTCACAGAAACCTTAAGTTTTTAGACTATGCCGAATTGATATAATCACGATGTTAAATTCATATCACGGTGATATCAATTTACGGGATAATATCATTATGATATTACTGTAATATTATTTTGATAATAACACAGTATATCAAATTGATATCGTAAAAATGTTTATTTGAAAAGATATCAAATTGGCATCATTATGATATCATTTCAATAGCGATAATTTCTTTAAAAAATGTAAAATAAATATGATATCGATATGATATTGTATTAATATTGACTCAGTATACTGAAAAGATATCAGGAAAATATATATGTGAAGAAATATCAAATTGATATCGCTTTGATATCGTCAAAAAAGTGATATTGACACGATATCGACATGATATCATTTCAATATTAACTTGGTATATCAAAAAGAAAAAGACAAAAATACAATTTGATGTTGATTTTTTTGAATTTCAAAATTTTTTATCAAAATATTGATTTATGGTCATTATGGGCTTATGGCATTATTAGTTAATAGTTAGTTATAATTAAAGAATTGCAGAAACGAATCATGTAAGCAAAAAAACATTCACAAAATATATAGTACAACATAGTACCCTTCATCTTTTTCGTAAAATAGTATCTCGAATTTAAATTACAGAATTCGAAGACTTCACTGCACTATATATGCAAAGTATACGGCAAAATTTGATGTCAAAGTGAAATATGTATTCTCAACGAAGAATGAACAAACAATTAAAGAATAATAAATAAGCAGCCATACTTGTAAATTCCATATTTATACTATTCTTAAAGAAAATAAATGATAACAAATATTTGCAAGACACTTCTATGTTGATAGAAAAAAGAAAAATTTGCAAGAATTTTCTTGATACTGCTTAAAAATTAAATGTGATACCGCTTATTTTAATGCTGATTAATAAATTAAAGTCACGATTAAAATAAGCAGTATCACATTTAAACCTTAAAAATTAAACAGTGTTAAGAAAAATTCTCGCAAATTTTTCTTAACGATCGGAATTTCGTTAATCAGCATTTAAACTTTAGAATTAAGCAGTACCAAGAAAATTCTCATGAATTTTTCTTGCCATTGTTTAAATAATCCTACTTGCAGCTAATCCAAGGAGACAATACCACTTTAAATTTTAAATTTACACTTAAGCAATATCAAGAATTTATTGTTAACATACAATAAAATCACGCGACATATATATAAAGTCCAAATTAAGTATTACTTTAAAAATAAAAGTAGTATATATATAATTTGCAGAGATTTTAATAAAAATTTGTTCTCAAATTACATTTTTGGATGAATGGAATATTCTTTATTTTTTTACCATTAATTAATTAATATATGATTTATATAAATAAGGTTATGTAAAAAATTAGCAGAAAAGCATATTTTTATCTAATTTATTATATAATATGAATTAATGTTATTTTTTATTAACATAAAATAATCTAAAGCTCTAATTTTAAAAATTTAAAATTATTTGACATTGCATTAATAATATATTGTAATATATATGTAAGCATTCAAGACTAAAAATATTTAAAATAATAAATCTATCCTTTTCTCATCCTCCTCATCCTCCTCACTCTCCTCATCCTCTTCATCCTTCTCATCATTAATTTCATTTTCTAATAAATCATTTCTTCTATTCGTGCCAATATATAAATTTCTTAAATATTCATACCTTTCTTTTTTACATTTTTCTTTATATTCTTTATATAATCTTCTTCCTTCATCAGCACTAACTAAATTATTGGTTTGAACTAATATTAACCAACGTTCATAATTATAAGTATTTATGCGATTTGCAGAAAAAAAGTGGTATTAAGGTTAGGAAAAGCGTCAAATATATTATAGTTATTATTTGCCAGATTTAATAACCTTTCTATGCGTTTGGCTCTTTGGATAATTAATTTTAATTTGTTTCCTGTTAACTCCAGATGTCCGTTACCACCACTTTTTATTATACTTCTTATAACGTTAGTTTTAATTGTTTATCCTTTATTCCGTTCATGATATATTTTAAAATACGTTTCTAGAGTTCAAAAATGTTGTAATATTTTTAGACAATAACGAAATTGATCTTTTCTCATATAGTCTGCTTGTACTTCTTGTTCCAATGAAGTTTCATAAATGTTAAAGATATTCTTTGACAGTTTGGAACAAGCGGCTTTTATTTCAGTTTCATGTTCTTCTGATGGTCATTGTAGTAATGCTATAAAATCTATCACGAAATAATAGGTCGGAAAGAAGAGATTAATTAAATGAACAGCTACTACTCGAATCATAATAATAAATCATTGCACCTGTATTATATGAATTTTTACTGCTTTCTCCTAATTCTTTAGTCCAATAACTACTTGTTGAAACTAGCGACTCTTCTTGATCATTATTTAAAATATAACTGAGCGAGTGATCTAAATAAAAAAAATTAGTTAGATATTAATTAAATTAAATTATTTGTGCCTGTACTACAGTATATGAATCTTCACCTGCTGTCTGTGCGTTATTTTCTTTTAAAGTCGTATTACCATCCAAAATATAACTAAGCAAATGTTGAGATGATTTACCACCATCATTTGTCAAAAAAATGCTAGAATTGCAAAATTCATTGACATTATTAATCCTAGATAAATGTCATAACAACACAACTCGATATTGATCATGATCACAAATTTGTAACGTATCAGCTATTGGGGGAGGAGTGGGAAGTTTGTGTATATGTTGTAAAAGCGTAAAAAGCGACTCTCCCATCATCATACAATCTATAGACAATTCTAGAAAATAATGTTAATATATTAAATAAATTTTTTTACCAAAACTTATTATTTACCTTTATGTGTTGTAAATTTTTCAATATTCGTAAGTTTGCTGCCAGTATTCAAAAATTACGTCTTTTACGTCCTCCTTGAGCCATAAATTTGCCAGTAGCAGTTGAAAAACTATGTCATTTACGTTCTCCTTGAGCAGGATAATGGTCCATTTCAGTATCCCATTGATTATTTAAATTGACTTCAATTACACTACCGGAATTTTTTCCAATTCATATAAAATCTGAGCTACAGTTTATAATTAGGTTTTTATAACCAAACTCTTTAAGTTTGGCATTTGTTTGGATTATTAAATTTAATAAATTATCATCAATTTCGCCACTTTTGTGGTCATTTTCGTATGATATTTCTGTGTAAGAAATGTATGTTAAATTTTTCTTTATAACATTTAGTTAATCATAAATTGCTAATTTTATATACCTTTATCAATTTCGTCATTGTCATCATCATCTTCGTCTTTGGCATTGTCTCCTTTTTTGGTATCATTAGTATCTTCTTTAGTTTTGTATGACATTGAGTATATTTGATTATGTTGTTTTTTTTTTTGCAAGAAAGACGACATCTTAGAAAGTAAAGTTGCAAAATCGCAAATTTTAAAAGGTGCAAAAACAAGAAATAATCAAAGAATTTTTCTTTCTAAGAGTACAAAAAAAAAAATAAAAAAAAATAGATTTTTTTTGCATAGAAAAAAAATTCAGATTTAAATTATAAAAAAATAGATTTGTGATTACATCATTAGATTTGTGGATTAATGTACCTTTTACCCCATATATAGAAAAGGCCATTTTTCTGGAATTCATAATTAGATTTGTGGTCATACTGAAAGAAATTCGTAATTAGATTTATGGTTGTATTCAGATTTATAGAAATTACATCATTAGATTTGTGGATTAATGTACCTTTTACCCCATATATAGAAAAGGCCATTTTTCTGGAATTCATAATTAGATTTGTGGTCATACTGAAAGAAATTCGTAATTAGATTTATGGTTGTATTCAGATTTATAGAAATTACATCATTAGATTTGTGGATTAATGTACCTTTTACCCCATATATAGAAAAGGCCATTTTTCTGGAATTCATAATTAGATTTGTGGTCATACTGAAAGAAATTCGTAATTAGATTTATGGTTGTATTCAGATTTATAGAAATTACATCATTAGATTTGTGGATTAATGTACCTTTTACCCCATATATAGAAAAGGCCATTTTTCTGGAATTCATAATTAGATTTGTGGTCATACTGAAAGAAATTCGTAATTAGATTTATGGTTGTATTCAGATTTATAGAAATTACATCATTAGATTTGTGGATTAATGTACCTTTTACCCCATATATAGAAAAGGCCATTTTTCTGGAATTCATAATTAGATTTGTAATCATACTGAAAGAAATTCGTAATTAGATTTATGGTTGTATTCAGATTATAGAAATAAGTTTGTAGTTACATAATTAGATTTGTAGAAAATAATGTAATTATAAATAATTTTGGAATAATTTTTTATATATATAATAATCATATATAGAATTTGTAATTAGATTTGTAGATAATTAGATTAATATATTTACCTTGTTTTGATAAATTGAGCAAATGGGATTACTTAAGCAAGGACCAAATGAGACCAAATGAGACTGTAGTAAGATTCTGATCAAGAATAAATCATTGTGATAGTTTAAAAAAATCGCAATTTTTAAATGGTGTTAGAAGAGAGTAGTTTACTTAAGCTTCTTTCAGTTCCTGTCATTCTTTTTGAAATCAATTAAAATTCACGTGAGCAAATTTTTATATTAAGAATATTTCGTTAAGAAATTCTTTTATTTGAACATAGCTTCTTCAATCGAAGCTGAAACTTACGTTATCATCACTGCCTTGTTAACAGTTCATCATAATTCCACTATTGAAATTTTTACTGATTCACAAAATGTTATTGACACTTATAATTGAATGATTATCCGCTCCTTGTCAATCAGAAGGTTGTTAAAACTTCCAAATCATGTCACTTGGTGCTTCATCATTTACCTTATAGAATCAAAAAATCTCAAGATCATCTTTCATAAAGTCAAGGCTTACTCTGGTGACCAGTATAATGACTTAGCTGATGAGTCGGCTAACTCTGCATGTCTTTTTCTTTCTATTGAACTCAATTTGTTCAAAGTTTCTAAGACTTAAATGATGCCAATATGGGCTTTTCTTGGTCCCATAGACTGCGATATCTAACGATTTTCGTGCAAAATTACTAATTGTATTATGTTTACTCAATTCTTACACAATTCTACCTTCAAACCTTTGTTTGATAAATTCAACTCTGATAATATCCATTGGCCTTTGACACAAGACTGGCTTCACTTTAACTCTACTGACGACATCTGTAGTAGATACAAGTCAATATACGATGCTTTTAAAATCAAATCTCTCAATCATATTTTACATGTGATAATGTCCTTTTCAAACACTATAAGAACTTATATTTCTGACAGGAATTCCCTGCCTGATCTGCCTTAACATGAATGATTCTAATTCTCATCTGGGTTAGGGTTAGGGTTAGGGTTAGGGTTAGGGTTAGGGTTAGGGTTAGGGTTAGGGTTAGGGTTAGGGTTAGGGTTAGGGTTAGGGTTAGGGT